TTACTACATTTCACCATAAAAGTGACAGGGTACTACAGGATCTGAAGCTTCATCAATACAACATACTGGCCATTAAGGCCAGATAGCAGTTGCCATGGTTACTATCACCCACTTTTATCAGGAAATTATTGTCATTACTCTGAAGTTTTTGGTACTTATTTAAAATCTAAAAAAAACCCAGTCTCGGGTTTGACTGTTAATTGAGTGAAAGAATCAACTACTGTTTGATTTGTAAGCATGCTGCTTCAGAGATGCACATGGTTAACAATACTTGGATCTGCAGCAGAAAAAAATCAATTCCTTTCTGCTGCTCCTTCTCCTCAAGTACTGACAGTTTGTATCCTCAGTGCAGCCAAAACAATAAAACAAAACCCATCTTTTTGGCTTCTGTGTTTAAGTCATTTTTTGTTCCCTAGGCCCACAGAGTCAAAATAAAGCCTATATCACCAACCTGTTAGGCTCCATCCCCTTCCTATCTCCATATTACCGGTTCACTTTTTTGTCTATTTAAAAAACCAGAAAACATTTCCATGGATGATTCCAAAATATAGATAAGAATAGTTTCCTTCAACAGAGACCTGCGCACTATTTTTTTTTTTTTTTAAACAGGGGGAGGCCTTGCATTGTATTGGAGGGAGAGAAGTGGAGGAGTATTCAAACTGCCACACAAGTGTCTAGAGTGTGAGAAAGTTGCTGTAGAAAACCCAAAGGTTGACCAAACCTCACATATTATCTCTTATTGTGGTGGAAGAGTTCATCATCACCTCAGTCTAACACTGAACAGACAAGTAATATAAAAGTTATCCTTAAAAGTCCACTTCAACATTCTTACAAAAAATAACTCCAGAAATTTTATACACAAGAATTATAGGAAAGCCTACAAAATAGCACAGCCACATGTACATACAAACACACAAACAAGAAAACATATGCTATTTAAAAAGTAATTATCTACAATAAATTTAAAGTGGTGTTAGAGTACTACCTCCTTAAAAAAAAAATCTCAAAGCAGCAAAAATACACACCTGGTAAAGTTAAAGTGATCAAAATATATTGCTGTGCACCTAAAGAATACTCAGGGCCTACATAAAAGCCCAAGTACAAAAGTTCCTGAGAAGTCAACAAAAATCATGAATATTTCCCAACACAAATTAACAGGAAGATTCAAACATATTTCAAGAAATCAGGTCTGAATATAGATACAAAGAAATTCTGTCAAAGGTTAGAGACCTAAAACTTTAATCCCTTTCTTTTCTCCCTTTGAACAGCAATTAAATACAAAAGTTTTCAGCAATAAAAATACCAAGAATACAAAATTTAAAAGCACATTACTATAACCTTAACTTCCGTATTTCCTCAAAACAAAACAAAAAAAAAAAACAAGAAAAGAAAAACCCCAAACCAACTTTAGTATTCAGTGTCCACAGGATGAAAAAGTTAATACTACCCTGAGAGGTTTCATTTTTATTTAAACAGTTAAATGTTTTTCTCACTTCACACAGAAACAAGTTTCTATATTTAATTTCTAATTAAAGGGGCTATTTCAAAAAGAGTAGTAGCTTCTAAAATATAAAACTAGACCTTTTGATATGCTCATAAACACAGGGACTCCCAATTATCTATATTTTATTTTATTTTAGTCCAAATTTGTAAGCAGAGTCTATTTAAAAGCCACAAATCAAGAATCTGAGTTTTAAACTTTTGGGTTATTTTTACACAAAAATATTTCAGTGCACTCCTCTAGATTTGAGTAGTCATTTCCTCATGCATCCCTCTAAAAGAGAAAAACAAAATGATATACATATGTACCTAATACTAATACATACAGATATACATCTTTTTCACTTTGAAACAAGCTTGAAAGCTTTACTTAGAATTTTTCAGAAAGTTAGCAGAATCACTCAAAACATTCAAAACCTTAACTGTGACATCTGTTACTCTGTGTGTTAATGAGAGTCTATAGAAGAATCCAGGAACTTAAATATTCACTAAAATCAACTACTATCACATCAATGAAGAAATGAAGAAAAATTTTAATGGGGAATACACATTTCACAGGATCTACAAAAAGAAAAATGATCTTTTTTTTAATTATGAGAAACTGCCTCCATAGCATTTTTTAAACAAAGCTTCAAAACTGTAACAAAGAGCTTTTTGGTAACCACAGTAGCATTTAAAAAAATTTCATAAAAGTGTTGGGGGTACACTTTTAATGTGTTCATTTCCCAATGATGCAGAGAATGTTAACGTTTTAAAGACAGAAATTTCTGTCCATGTATTAATTAGTTACCTATCTCAACATCTGCATGGCTTCTGACAATTTACAAAGAACTTTCACATGTCTTCTCATTTGATCTTCTGAGAAAAAAGTACAGTATTATGCCTAGAAAACCGACAAAATTCAAAGCAGCTTCATCAAATTTTCTACACATTCCTAAGTTTCTTAAACTTTGATACAAAACTTTACAAGCCACCAAAGTAGCATGATATTCCCAGGGATAAATCAATTCACCTAACACTAATATAGTTTCAAAGGAGCATGTGCTGTAAATGCTATGAAACTACTTTCATCTTTATGCAGTTATTGTTAAGTGTTACTAACGGACATATCAGGAGTGACTTATACTCACAGATATAACTTTACTTACAGTTCAAGAATCTCAGTCTTTGGAGGCCAACTCAAATACATCAACCATACGTATTTATAAAGCTGAGTGCCTAAGAATTTATCTATTAGGATCACTGTCTATAGATGTGAGGAAAAAAACACAAGAAATTAAATTTTTTTCCATACAGTATCTCCCTTTCCAAAATCTCGTATCTCTGTATCCTATCTGTATTAATATTATAGGAATAACACAAAAGCTAAAGCCCAATCATACCAACTTCTTTTGTTTACAGTCCTTGGACACAATCTTTTCACATTTGTGTTCAACACCCCACTCACCAATACAAGACTAACTCCTCATCAAAATAAAGTAATTCTAACAGCACTCTGTACCTAAGCGTGGCATTCTTAAGCTATCCACAATAACAAATCTACTTTGTGTAATATTGTAAGCAGGTAAAAAGCAATCAAAGATTTCAGTTTCAAATAGCAAATGTAATTTATTAATGGACTTTTAAATGGACTTACTAAAAATCTTTCTGGAACTTTAAGGCATTAATCCTGTTGCTTAGTTGAAGTTAACAGAGCTGTAATAAGTAGTAAGACCCTCAAAATTCAAGAGATTTACTTTATCTTGATGTAGCACCTCCTGCTGGATAGCATTCAGAGTTCTTCATGTAAACAGAAGAAGAGTATTTCTGAGGCAGTTCCTTCCAGATGACTGAATGGGAAAAAGGATGGACCCTTCAAAGCTAAAAGAAATAGGGCCCCATCCATCACTTATACCTCTTAAAAAGAAAATCTGGTGTGGGTAGGAGTCTTTTAAATCTATTACTATCCTGGTTCCATAAGACCTGCCTGAGTCCAAAGTGCAACATGCTTAAATAAAGCTTGCAAAATCATCTAAAAACTACCTTAAAAAGCCTTCAAAAGCACTCAAGCAAAAGACTTTATTATGGCCAGCCAAGCAATGCCAGTCATATTGCAAATACCATTATGTTAACAAAAGCAAAAGCCTAACATAAAGAAAAACACCTGGAATATTTTTAACATATTAGCCAGAAGTTTGTGTTTTGAGAATTTTCTGCACCATTACTATGCTCCTTTTAAGAACAGTTGTCCATCTACAGAAGTTTCAAGTACAGAAATTTTTTGATAAACCGGAGTATTACTACACACAAAAATTTCCTCTTTGCCATCAAGTATGTCCTGATATTTTAAAATGTATTTTTCAGACATTTTAAATAACCCCTAATAAGCTAGTTTTAAGCCCACAATGTAGATTCCATATACAAGTGAAGATAGAAAAAAAGAATAGAAAGGAACTTACCAAAATCAAAATGAATAATAGTATTTCCAGTAAAAATGTAGTAACAGTTTCCTATAATGCTGTGAAACCAAGTAAATCGTGAAACTTAAAAAAAGGGGGGAGGGGGCTACTCTTCAAAAACCAAAAGAAAAACTGACCTATTAATTTCTAGCGCCCAAATGTGATAAACACCAGATGTAAACAAACAACATAAGCACTGAAAAGTACACTTAGATGTCTTAGCCCCAATTTCAGTCCCCTTACCAGGCCCTCAGTGAAGCCAGAGATGTTGATGAGTATCCTCTCTAAAAGGAGATATTCTAGCTCCCTGCCCTAAAGAACCCCTATAAAGTGTGCCTATGTAAAGGCTTCCTTCCTAGAGTGCACAGCTGCTTTTGAAAAAAAAAAAAAAACTTTCATCAACCCAAATTAATCTGATTCTAATATTCAGCTATCAATTATTAATACAGGAATGTTCTCTCTTTAATGTCCCCAGCTTAAGCATCTACATTCCTGACACCTACTATTAACAAAAAATGCACAGCTCGCACCCCAGCTATGGGGCAAATCTCTGAAATCCAAAACACAGCCACAAAGTTCACTGTCAAGGCCAATGCTGAGGCCCACACACGCCCGGACCTTAACTCACATTTGAAATTCTAGAAAGCCACATTTGCAGACATCATTTAAAAACAACACAATGTGGACGTGCAGAGTGAGATCCTCTACTTCAAGACCTAAACAAAGAATATTTCAACATATGCCCCGAATATGATGACACCAGATTCACCAATGAAAACAAAACCTGCCTACCATTAGCAGTCGTACCTTCATCTCAACAACTCAACTACTTAGAAATCACTCTCAGCACATCTGCACCCTACAACCGGCGTGTGGCCTTCTCAGGGGGTGCAAGCCACAGACAAAGTTGAAACGAGACATTCTTCCCCCGGTGCCCAATGTCGATATCAACCCCTCCCCTACCAGGGCCACCTTGCTGCTACCCACCATCGCGAACGTGGTCAGGGGAAAAAAAGAAATCCTAACAGCACCGCTCAGCAGAATAAAGAGACCAAAGAGAGGATGACGAGAAGTGTTGGGAACTGCGTGCACGACGGGGCTGGACCAAACGGAAAGAGTCCCACTCCGCGCGCCCCTCCCCCCGGCGGGGGCGCGGGCGGGGGAGGGGCGGCCGCGGCCCCTCTCCGAGCGGCCTGCCGGCCTCGGCCCGCGCGGGGTCCCGGGGGCGCCCCGCGGCCGCGGGCGGCGGGGGCGAGTGCGGGAGGGCCGGGCCCGGGGTGAGGGGTGCAGGCAGACTCTCCGGAATAACAAGTTGCAGAAGAAGAAGAATAAGCGGAATTTCCCCAACGCTGCTCCGGCCACCCAAGACAAATGCACCAACACACACACACACACACACACACACACACACACACACTCGGGCCCGGCAGCGTCAGCAGCCGCAGCTTTTTTTTTTTTTAACCAGATCCCTCAGTCACCAAACAAGATGGTTTTCCCAAAAAAAAAAAAAATTAATTAATTAAATAATCATAATAAAAACTTCCCCCCGACAGCATCCCGAGGGGGGGGGGCAGGGTGGTGAAGGAACCGAGGCGACCATCCCCGGGCTGAGGGACAGCCGAGGGGGCGGACGAGGCTCCGCGCCCCCCGCCCCCGCCGGCGGCCCCCTCCCCGGCACCCCGCCGGGACAATGTGACGCCCCCTCCCCGCCACCCCCGGCGCGCCGCCTCTGTCACCCGCTTCGGCCCTGCACTCAGCGCCCAGGCTCCCGAGGCTGCTCATAAACTTACTTCCAATTTATCCTGGGGAGGGGTGGAGGGCAGAGGGAAGGAAGGGGGAGACAAGGTTTTTCCATTGTCTTTTTTTTAGGGGGGGAGAAATAGGAAGGGCACGCAGGGGGGCGCCCCGAAGGGGAAGTTACTGCTCAAATCTCAAGTTGACTGAGGGGTCCTGACGAGAACACCCCCCCTTCCCTCCTCCCTCCCACACACCCCTCCCCTCCCCCTCCCTCCCCCCACAACAAACTCCAAGCAGGCAGCCCCAGTTCCTCCCAGAGACAAACACCAGAGACAAGACAGAGAGACAGGGAGAGGGGGAGAGGGGGAAGGGGGGAGGGAGGGGAAATAGAGCTACTCAAGAAAAAAAGAGAGGAGAGTGAGGAGAAGAGAGAATGGAAAAGCTGGGATACTGCACCCTCCTGCTGCTGGCTGGTTGTCCCCCCTGGCAGCTGGAGGCAGGAACTCTGAGCAGGAGAAGCAGGAGGAGGAGGAGGAGGGAACTCTTCTTCATGGGGAGGGAGGGAAGAAGCTGGAGCTGCTGCTGCTGCTTCTGCTGCTGCTCTGGGCCTCTCGCACTTTTTAGATATTAGTGTGTTAAGATGGTAGGTTGTTCCCTTCTCCCTCCTCCTCCTCCTCCTCTCCTCTCCTCTTCTCTCCCTCTCTCTCACTCACTCACTCTCTCTCTCTCTGGGCTGTTTCTTTCCTCCTCTTCCCCAGGCAAGGGGGGGTGGGGAGGAGGGGGTGGGGGGAGGAACTGGATCCTCCTCCTCCTCCAGGAGAGACACACACAGGCCCCGGGCCGGAATAGGGGTGGGGGGGAATCAGAGCAGCAGGAGAGAAACTGTGGGAGACAAACAAGCCCAACTCTTCATCCTCCTCCTCCTCCTCTCAGCAGCAGCAGCGAGCACCACCAGCCCATTCACCACCCGGCCCCGGGCCGCAGCACCTCCGCCGCCTCAGCCCGGGGATCCCTCCGCCCAGGCCCAGACACACTCGCCCGCGCGGGAGCCCGCCGCGCGGCCCCGCCGGCCCGCCGCCGCCGCCGCCGTGCGCGCCCCCGCCGCTCCCGAGAGCCGGGCGAGGGGGACGGGGGCGGGGAAGGGGGGGAGGGGGGGGGGGGGGGGGGAGAGGAGGCGCCGGGGTAGAGGGGCACGGCGGGGAGGGAGGGGGCCGCCGGGCGGAGTTGTACGGCGGCCGGCCCGGGCCCCCTCGCCTCCGCCGGCGGCTCCTGGGCCACATGGGCCCCCCCCGGGGCGGGGGGGCGGCGGCGTGGGGGGGGCGGCGGGGGCCCGCGGCGGCGCTCGGGCGGGCGGACTACTTGACGTGTCGGTGCGGCGAATTTATTTCACTTTGCCTAAGGAACGGGGTGTGCTGCGGCCCCCATTGCCTAGGGAAAAAACCCGGATGTAAAGTGAGTGAAACTAAACTAGAGTGAAGTAGGGCAGCAGCAGCCAAACTCCAGTGCAGCGGCGGCGGCGGCGGCGGCGGTGATGGGGCTGAGCACCGAGCGGCGGCGGCCAAACTCCGGGGCCGTCGCAATGATGGGCCCGTGCAGCGCCGCAGCTCGGCTCCCTTGTAGCTGCAGCCGAGGCGAGGCTGGAGCCCGCTGCGGCCCCCCCAACTCCGCGGCCCGAGCCCAACTCCCCCCTCCCGCCGGCAGGAGCTGCAAAGGGGCTCCGGAGCGGCCCCAACTCCCTCCAGTGCAACAGCAGTTTTAAGGGGGAAAAAAAGCCGCGAGGGCAAAAGCGGAGAGAAGCAATGGGGAAGCACTGCAATGGGGGAGCGTGGTCCAGGCAACAGGAGAAAGATGCAACCTCAAGTCGAATGCAACATGCAATCCCCGGCCGCCGCTAGCCCGCTCCCTCCCCTCGCCACCCCGCCCCCTTTCCAAATAACTACCCTTGAACCACTTTATTAGCCACACTTAGTCCCACACTCGCGTCGGGGAGGGGCGGGGGACGGGGTCCTTCCCTCACCTTTATTTATTGCTTTCTCCCCCCCTCTCCATGTTTTTTATTCCTAAGTTCTTTTGTTCTAAGGGGGATGATGGCATTTACTTTTCTGCTTTGTGTGGCAGGGCAATCACTGGGAATCGGCCACGTATAATCCGGCGGTTTGTCATATTTTATTAGTGAAAGTATTTTATGCCTATTCTACCTCCAAGGACTGTAACATGGAGAACTGCAGGGAGGAAAAAAAAACATCAGAGGAATTCTTGTTTTGAGAAATTTCTTGGCGGGGAGGGGAGGGCCCTTTTTTTTTTTTTTTTGGAGGGGTTTATTTAGATTTTCAAATGGATAGTTTTCAACTTAAAGCTTAATGTTTTTGTACGGATATACTACTAGATTCTAAAATAACCCCCAACCACAATAAAGAAAAAAAAGTCCAAAATTCTAGATTAAAGAAAAAAAAATCCCTACTGGACAGTGATATTATCTGGTCTGTGCAGCACGCTGGATTTAACATAGTGTTGGCCTTCGAATGTTAAATAACAATAAACCCCAACCTCAACTGAATACAAATGGGGGGTGGGGGTGGTTTTGTTTTTATGGCTCAGCACTTTTGTAGCATCTGCCACTACGCATTTTCCAGGCATTGATTAGCCATGCAACTCCCATAGGCATGAAGTCCAGTTTTTGCAGATAAAGAGCAACAGTGGTGAGATGATTTGCCCAAAGTCAAAGTGAGTCATTGACAGAACCAGAAATAGCCTTAAACTCTTATTTGTTACTAGTCACATCTTTCCCATTAAATAGTATTTCCTCCAAGAAATAAACAATATTTAAAAATAAATAGACGTTCTTTACCTTGTTATGTATTTCCACCAGAGGTACTTTGAGATCTTCAGATACGAAGGTGTTTTCTTACTTCTGTGACCTGCAAAATTAAGTTTAGTTTCTCAAGAAAAAGAAATTTTTAAAAATTCTGATTTCTTAAAGCTAAAAAAAAGTATGGGTTTTATTTTACATGCATAGTCCATTTAGTACTCTGAGCTTTATATTAAAAAAAAATTTCACAGCAGAGAAAGTGTGTAAGAGTTTGAGAGCAAAAATGAAAATCCCTATAAATGATTCAAGAAGCCTGGATGAACTCATAATGTTGTGAAACTGAACCCATAACACAGTCAAGATGAATAACGGAAGGACAGGTTGGGTAGTAAGACCCAGCTTTGCCACCTAGAGATAACGCTAATGTATTTAAGAGATGAATTAAGGCAGGGCCTTTCAAACTGGACCAACTAGGAACTGGAACCACAACCTAATATCATTTCAAATCAGCCCAGGCTGTCGAAATTTTTTCAGAGCAAGACTGCTTTAGTGTTCTTTCTGGAAAAAAAAAAACAAACTTAAAAATGTTTCAGAATTTCATAGAAAAAAAAATCAGAAACTCAAATTGTGCCTGAGCATGTAAATGCTCTAGAAGAGGAATCAGTAAATTTTTTTTCTGTAAAAGCCCAGATACTAAATATCTTAGACATTGTAGACCATAGAGTCTCCACGGTAGCCACAACTTCTCAACTCTAGTTGTAGCACAAAAACAGCCATAGAAAATATGTAAATATATGAGCCTGGCTGTGTTCTAATAAAGCTTTTATTTATGGGCCTTGACATTTGAATTTCCTCTACTTTTCTTGTGTCACAAAATATTCTTTTAATTTTTTCAACCATTAAAGAGAAAAGTGAAAGCATTTTTAGCTTGTGGGCTAAACCAGTGGGTGAGCAGGACTGGGCCCATGGGCTATGGCTTACCAACCCTGGCTTTAGAAGATTCAAGCTGACAAACAATAAGATGTTTGTGTGTCAATCAAACATCAATGTCATGCAAAATCGCATTTTTAGATATTTACATTTAATTAAAATATTCTAATTTTCTTAACACTTCTACAGCTATCAAACTCTATGGAAAAGAATAGCTGTGATTCATTAATAGATATTTCCACTTCCATTCTCTTTCCAACTCTAAGATGCTGAGGAGGAGTGGAACCAAACCAAACTGACCCAGATTCTGACACCTGAGTAGTACCACTCCTGTTCAACTAAGACACCTTGAACAAGTTACTTAAGCTCTCAAAGCCTCAGTTTTCCTATCCTATAAAATGCAGCTATTAATATTTATTTGTAGGGCTGTCAAGAAGATTGAATAAAATAATTCATGTCAAGTGCTTAGTACAGTGCCTGGTACATGGGACTATAGAATACATTTTTTTCCCCTGTGCCCTCAAATTCATTTTCTGAGTAAACCACTCTAAAAGTGACTCTGGAGAGGATGAACACATAGAGTCCCAATATCTTGTCAGTCTGCACTGCCACTCGTGGCATATGAGGTCCAAGGATTCTTGGGTGAGTCAAGGTTGTGGGGTTAATATCGTGATAGATTTTGGGGGGTCTTTCTTAATTTCTAAGCATGCCACTCATGGGCATTTGGTAGACCCACACTAGCTGTGTGGCCTTAGACAGACACTTAAGCCTTCTGAACCCTGTGTTTCTCATGCACAAATTAAAAATAATCCTTACTGGATTTTTGAAAGGGTTGAGTAGCATAAGTACTAAAGGAAAAAGCTAACAATTAGTATAAGTTAGTGAAAATCCCAGAAATAAGCTGAAAATGGAAAGTTTACACCAGAAGCTCCTCTGAAGTAAATCATTTGACTTTTAGACATGAATGACATAATAGTAAGAGCAGGTGCACAGTAACTTAGAATTTGCTCTCCTACAACCTGTTTACTCCTCCAAAACTATTTAATAGCCATCAAAACCCTGTTGAACAAAAGTAAACTCAAATTTTGAATGTTATTAAATATTGGAGTACAGCTTTTCATTTTTATAAAAGTAGTCAAATCTATCTGTGGTTTCCTGTATATTCCTGCCTTCTGGTCCCTGCTTCAAGAGGTCATCCAAAGTCCAAGATCAGAAAAATATCTATAATTTTCTTCTTGTATTTTTATGGTTTCTATTTTTTACATTTACCTCATTACCACATATAATTTTTGCATGTGTGTGTGTGTGTCTGTGTGTGTGTATGTGTGTGAGAAAGGAGGTAGGGGGGCCCCTGGGTGGCTCAGTCGGTTAAGTATCCAATTCTTGGTTTAGGCTGGGGTCCTAGGATCAAGCTCCTTGTCGTAGGGCTCTGTACTCGGTGGGGAGTCTGCTTGAGATTCTCTCCCTCTGCCCTTCCCTGCACTCTCTCTCTCAAAGTAAATAAAACCTTTTAAAAAAAAAAAAGAAAGAAAGGAGGTAGGAATCTAAATAACTTTTGTTTGATAGGAAATATTTAATATTGGGATTCTACTGGATAATATAAAATGTCATTCAAACTGATAAAACAGCTGGTCCCCTATAAGGACTATCAGTCTAATGCAGAGATACTGTTGATGTAGGAAAAATATAACAGAGGCTTATATATTATGGTATTATATGGAGGCATTATGCATTATAATAGAAAAGTCTCTTCTAAATTTCTTTTTTTAAATTTTTTCTTTTTTTAAGATTTTTATTTATTTATTTGACAGAGAGAGAGAGATCACAAGTAGGCAGACAGGCAGGCAAGCAGGCAGGCAGAGGGAGAGGGAGAAGCAGGCTCCCTGCTGAACACGGGGCCCAATGAGGGGGGGCTCCATTCTAGGACCCTGGGATCATGACCTGAGCCGAAGGCAGACACTTAACCGACTGAGCCACCCAGGCACCCCTAAATTTTCTTATTTTACAGTTTTGTAGTAGTATGGTACACAATGCACCCAGGGATAGTAAGGTGTTTTGTACTTGTATTTGTACATGATTGTTTCTGATGTTCTGACTATTTAAGAGTATTTCAAACAAGGTAATGAACTTCCCCCCCACCCCCACCCCCACCACAAAGGCCTAATTGAACATGTTTTCTCATCCAACTCCCCTTGCCTGTCCCTCGCTCAACTATCATCCTTTTTTCTTAGGCCGAAAAGTAACCCCATTGTCTCTTAAAAGGTCAGCCTAAAGGAGATTTAAACTGAAAACCTGAGGGTCCTTCATTGAGGCAGAGAGGTAACTACTGGAGTTCCCCAGGTCTTTTCTAATTCCTCTTGGGCTGGAATAAATGAAAACCTGGCTTGTACCAACAAAGTGCTTAAATAAGTAGAGGAGACCTATCAATGTGATTTTTAAAGAATTATGACAGAAAATCCCCAGTGACTAGCAGAAGTTGAATATACGTTCTTTCTCCCCACTGTCTCAATGGTGGTTTCTGATCTTTTAAAAATCTTCACTTTAACTCTCTTGCGTGTGCATTTACAGAAAGCCAAAATCATAGTTGGAAATGGATCAGGAATAACTTGTAAATAAATAAATATTGGTGGATAAGCAGTTGACTCTCTAGAGAATGCCTTCAATTTCATTGCTTTGCCATAATCTCCAAGGTCAATTTAATCCTAAGCAACACCAGGTGTGTGTGTGTGTGTGTTTAATAGAATTAACTAGACCAGAGCTCCTAGGCCTTGGCACTATTGACATTTGGGGGCCAGATAAATTTTTTGTTATGGGCGGCATTGTAGGGTGTTTAGCAGCATCCCTGGTCTCTCTACCTACTAGATGCCGATAGCATCTCCCAGAGAGTGGTGACAACCAAATATATCTCCAGACATTGCCAAATGTCCCCTGTTGGGGGGGGGGGAGGGGGGAAGGGGGGAAAAAAGGGTTGGGGGGTTGGGGGAAAGGTGGGGGGGGGGGGGGGGGGAGGGTGGTGAAAA